CTTGCTGGGCCGGTTGAGCTCCACGTGCAGGACGTGCTCCCGCTCCCGCCGCAGCCGCAGGGTCTGGAATTCCCGGGGAGGGGCCCCCGGAGCCCCCGACGCCTCCGACGCCTCCGACGCCATCGAGCGACGCAGGACCCGCAGCGCTGGGGGAACTGGGATGGACTGGGAGCCACCGGGACCCACTGGGGAGGGACTGGGAGGGACTGGGGAGGGACTGGGATCCACTGGGATGGACTGGGAGCCACCAGGACCCACTGGGGAGGGACTGGGAGGGACTGGGGAGGGACTATGAGGGACTGGGACCCACTGGGATAGGGCTGTGAGGGACTAGGGAGGGACTGGAATGGACTGGGACCCACTGGAGGGCACTGGGACCAACTGCGGAGGGACTGGGACCCACTGGGGAGGGACTATGATGGACTGGGGAGGGACTGGAATGGACTGGGACCCACTGGAGGGCACTGGGAGCTACTGGGAATGGACTGGGAGACACTGGGGAGGGACTGGGACCCATTGGGGAGGGACTGTGAGGGACTGAAGAGGGACTGGAATGGACTGGGACCCACTGGAATAGGACTGGGAGCCACTGGGAATGGACTGGGAGCCACTGGGATGGACCGTGGGGGGAACTGGGGAGGGACTGGGGGCACTGGGACCTGCTGGGCACACAGGGACAGACTGGGTGAACTGGGGGGTCACTGGGAGTTACTGGGAAGGCACTGGGAGTTACTGGGGGGTCAGTGGGAAGGCACTGGGAGTTACTGGGAAGGCACTGGGAGGTACTGGGGGATAACTGGGAGTTACTGGGGGTCACTGGGGGGTCCCCGGGAGTTACTGGGGGGTCACTGGGAGTTACTGGGAAGGCACTGGGAAGGCACTGGGAGTTACTGGGGGGTCACTGGGAGTTACTGGGGGTCACTGGGAAGGCACTGGGAAGGCACTGGGAGTTACTGGGGGGTCACTGGGAGTTACTGAGGGGTCACTGGGAAGGCACTGGGAGTTACTGGGGGTCACTGGGAGCCCCTGGGGGGGTCGCGGGGGGTTCAAGGTCACCCGGGGGGTCCCTTGTCCGGCCCGGGGGTGGTTTGGGGGGGTCCGGGGTTGGTCACGTGTCCCCCCGGGGGGGGGCCCCCCCCCCCCCCCCCCCCACTCACGTGCCCGGAGCAGCCGCGCGACCACCAGCGCCATCGGCCCCGCTCCGCCGCCAGGGGGCGCTGCCGGCTTCCGGCGCCCGCAGCCAATGGGGACGCAGGAAGCGCGGCCGCGCCCCTCTCCGGGCGGAAGTGACGCATCACCCGCCCCCTTACGGGCGGAAGTGGCTCCGGGACCCCAAAAACCTCCCAAAACGTCCCAAAATCCCCCCAAATCCTCCCCCAACCTCTCCAAATTCTCCCCAGCCCCCCTAAAATGCTTCCAACCCCACCCAAAATGCTCCCCAAATCCTCCCCCAAACCCCTCAAAATCCCCCCTTAAACCCCCCCAAAACTCCCTCAACCCCCCCAAAATCTTCCCTACCCCCCTGAAATCCTCCCCCAAACCCCTAAACCCTCCAAAACCCCTTCCCAAACCCCATAAACCCCCCTGCCCCCCAAAATCTCCGTCTGTGTTTTCCAAACAACTTTTATTTTGGGGGGGGGGG